CCCGTGTCCCCTGGCACTGACACTGTGTCCCCGTGTCCCAGGCGTGCACCGTGTGGAGGTGGCGTACGATGAGGTGGCAGTGCCCAAGAGCCCGTTCCGCGTGGCCGTGGCCGAGGGCTGTGACCCCACTCGTGTGCGGGCGCACGGGCCTGGCCTGGAGGGCGGCCTCGTGGGGAAAGCCAATCGCTTCACTGTGGAGACCAGGTGAGTGCAACAGCACATCCACACCAACCCAACACCAACCCAACAGCACATCCACAACAACCCAACACCAACCCAACATTAACCCAACACCAACCCAACACCAACCCAACAGCATATCCACAACAACCCAACAGCACACCCGCAACAACCCAACACCAACCCAACATCAACCCAACATCAACTCAACATTAACCCAGCAACAACCCAACACATTGACACACCAACACACCAACTGCTTCACTATGGAGACCACTTCCATCCCATGTAACAAACTCATCACCTTCATTTCTTGTCATTTATTGTGCCACCTCCATCCCACTCCATGGATGTGCCACCCCCGACTCTTGCCATTGGATGTGCCACCTCCAACCTGACACATTCATCTCTTGTCATTCGTGCACCACCTCCATCCCGCATTACCAGCCTGGCACCTCCATCCCCTCCAATGGAAGTGCCACCTCCATCCTCCTTCACTGGATGTGCCACCTCTGTCACCTCCATAGATCTGCCACTTTGACACCAACCTGGCATCTCCATCTCTTGCCTTCGGATGTGCCATCTCCATCCTCTTGCATGTGATGTGGCACCTCCATCCCCTCCCATGCATGTGCCACCTCATGCCCACACCACTAATGTGCCACCTTCAGCCTCTTGCAAGGGGATGTGCCACCTCCATCCCTTATGTTGGATGTGGTACCTCCATCTCCCCACCACGTCCCCCCATCCCTGTCACCCCCTGACTCGTGTCCCCTCCACAGGGGTGCAGGCACTGGGGGGCTGGGCCTGGCCATTGAGGGTCCCTCTGAGGCCAAGATGTCCTGCAAGGACAACAAGGACGGGAGCTGCACGGTGGAGTACATCCCCTTCACACCGGGCGACTACGATGTCAACATCACCTTCGGTGGCCACCCCATCCCTGGTGCGTGGGCAATGGGGTCCTATGGGGGTGTGGGGCCCTCCATGGGGTTGGGACTTGGAGAGGGCTCCCTGGGTGTTGGGGATGGGTGTGCTGACCCTCCAGTGGCCATCACTGCACGGTTCTGGTGGCCCCACGTCCACCCCTTCTTGACCCCAAGCCTCTGGGGTGTCCCCATGGCCATAGCTTTGGTGTCCCCATGGCCATGTTGACCTTGTGGGTATGTTGACCCCATGGCCACACTGACTTCATGGCCATGTTCACCCCACGGCCACATTGGCCCATGGTCATGTTGTCCCCATGGCCACAATGACCACATGGACATATTGACCTCATGCCCATGTTGACTTTATGGACATATTCATCCCATGGCCATGTCGAACCTCATGGACACCCTGTCCCCATGGACACTCTGACCCCATGACCTTGTTGTCTCCCTGCCCACATTGACCCCATGCCCATGCTGTCCCCACAGGGAGCCCATTCCGGGTGCCGGTGAAGGACGTGGTGGACCCCAGCAAGGTGAAGTGCTCGGGGCCGGGGCTGGGCCCCACTGTGAGGGCGCGGGTGCCCCAGACCTTCACTGTGGACTGCAGTGCCGCGGGGCTGGCGCCGCTCGAGGTCACCCTGCTGGGACCCTCCGGTACGGGACACGTGGGGACGGGGACATGGAGGGAGGGGGGTGACCATGGGTGATGCGTGGAGACCTCAGAGCAGCTTCCAGTATCTGAAGGGGGCTACAAGGATGCTGGGGAGGGACTCTTCATCAGGGACTGCAGTGGTAGGACAAGGGGGAATAGCTTTAAACTTAAACACGGGAACTT